TGGTTTTCGCATCCTTCCAGAACTATCTTCAGCTCCAGATTTATCCTGAGGCCAAATTAAGTGGAGCCGGACTTATCTAAAGTAAAAGGATTACTGTGGTAGGGCATTTAGATAAAGAGCAGCAGCTCGTTCTACTTGAAGCTAATTCAGACTCTACCTGGCACTAGAGATGCCTGAAACCCTGGAGAAATCAAGAAACAGGTGATGTTATGCTAAGCTTAAAAGCAAGGGACATCCTGGGTGCCAAAGCCATTTTGGGGTGGGGGGAACACTGAGACCCAGCAGGGTGAGGGATTGATGTGACTGAGGTGTCCAGGGATGTTAGAATGGTCACAGGCCCTGACAGCTAAAGATGGGGGCTTCAATTCCATGGAGTGACCAGGGTGGCCTCAGGCTTGTGTGTGTGAACTTGAACTGAGATCACTGCAAAAAAAAAAAAAAAAAAAATCTGGAACTGAAAATGTTGCCACTCCTTGTAAGAAAATGTTCCCCATCAGTCCAGAGAACAAGAAGGACACTTATTAGGGAACAATAAGGACTCAGTTGGAAGGAGGCAGGGGAAAGGGTAGCTTCTTGGGAGGGATCAATACTCTGAGCCTGCGTCGCACTGCAGTGGTGCAGGCGGCCCACACTGAGAAGCTCTGTGTGCGTGATGCTGGGGACGGAGCCCAGGGCCTTTCACGTGCGAGGCAAGGGCTCTACCACTGAGCTATGCTGCCAGCCCTAAATTTAGAAGGTGGATAATGTTTCCAACCTGGCGAAAACTCTAAGGTATGTACAGATACAAAGCACCAGGTGAGGCCCTTCTCTGACACAGGGCATGTGGGTGTCCTGTGGGAGTGGGGGGAGTCCAAAGAGAAGGTCATCATCAAAACCAATGCACATGAGCAAAGGAGCCTCCCCAAGGGAGAGTCAGACACAGTTCACCATAGGAACAGCACCCCAAGAAGGCAAAACAGAAGAGACAGGCCTTAAATCATTATAAAGAATGAAAGTTCTGTACCCTATAAAAAAGAGGTGAGTTTTAAAATATAGGATTTATAAACATTTTTTTTTTGAATCATTGGAGTTAAAACGAAGTAGCCAGGGGAAGGCGGTAGCATTGTGATAGCTAAAGAAAGAATTAGTGAACTAGAAGACAGATCCAAGGAACTGATTCTGAACAGAGCATCGAACGATAGAACATGTGAAAGAAAAGTCAAGAGGCATTCAGGACTGAGAAAGATGGTCCATCATATTTCTAACAGGAACTACTGAGGAAGAAGATAAAAAGTGAAGAGAGGATTATGAGTCTTCTAGAATGGAAAGGAACAAAACATTCCAAGGCAGAGTAAATAAAAACAAATCCACACCTAAGCAGCATACACAGAATACCAACAAAAACTTAAAAACAGGGAAAGGGCTGGGGTGTAGCTCAGTAATAAAGTACCTGCTTAGCATATGTGAGGCCCTGGATTCCATTCCCTTTTCTAAAAAAAAAAAAAAAAAAAAAAGCCAGATGTGATTGTAATCCCAGCTATTCAGGAGGCTGAGATGGGAGGATCTTGAGTTCAAGGCTAGCCTGGGCTCAACTTAGCAAGATGCTTTCTCAAACTAAAAAGGAGGCCTGGGGGTGTAGCTTAGTGGTAGAGTATCCCTGGGTTCAATCCCCCATATGGGGGAAAAAACAACAAAACAAAAACACCAGAGGGAAAAAATAGGTTTCTACAAAGAAACGTCAATTAAAGAGCAGATTTCTCAACAACAACAAGACGCCCATAAAAGCACTGAAAGAGAATACCCGGGAACCTCAAATTTTATACCCAGCCAAATGATCATTTGTGTCTGCTAGCAAAAGGCACTTTCCAACCAAGTTTATAAGTCCCAGAGCCCTGCTAAAAAGTCTAAGGAAAAGTATATTTTAAAAAATCCATAAGGAAGAGTGGTAATAAGAATTTACTTCCCCCTAAAACAAAAATGAATGTTTTTAAATAAAAAGTAGAGTGATACAAATTAAAGCACGTTAAGACTCTTTGTCGTTGGCACAGGGCAGAGAGGATTCCCTTTAGGTATGTCAAAGATGGCAGACATGTCCAAAGTGGAATGAATTACTGAAGAGAAGAGGTATAGAATGTGTTAAGGTCTGTAAACAAGTCAAAATAACACCTGGTATTTTGCCAGAGAAATGTTAGAGTTCGTAAACAAGTCTGGATGGTGCTAATAATACCAATTGCCGCAACCCGGCTGGGCACAGAATCACGAGCCACTCAAGCAGGAACAAAACTTTATTTTTGAAAAAGTCACCAATACCACGTGTGTGGACCAGCTTGCTAGCCGGACGCGTACGGGGTATTGGTGGCTTTTTCAAAAATAAAGTTTTGTTCCTGCTTGAGTGGCTCGTGATTCTGTGCCCAGCCAGGTTGCGGCAAGAATGTACACTTAAAAAGGAGATCTGTGGCCAATTTCGGAAAGGTTTGCCATCAAAACAACACAGGCTGAGTAAACCATATCCATAAAGCTCTGGGCCAAAGTGCTTTGGATTTTGGATTTTCTATCCCTATAATGGGAACTTGGGGGATGGGACCCAAATCTAAACATGAAATCCATTTATGTTTCATATACACCTTATATATGTAAGCTGTAGACAGCATTTCTACTTAATCTCTGTTTTGACTGCAACCCATCATGTGAAGTCAGCATGGAATTTTCCTTTTGGGAAATTAATGAATCAAAAGTTCATATTTTAGATTTTCACATTAGGCTTGCTCAATATGTCCCTGCCAATAACCACTGAGTATTTGGGTTTTACCCACATTCTTGTTTGGTACACAGGATGATGCAAGTTCCACCTTTATTCTCAATTAACAGATGGGGAAACCGAGGCTCAGGGAGGCAAAGTTCCTTGCCTGCACAGTAAGAGGCAGCCCCATGGTTTGAGCCGGTATCTAACTGCTGGTAAAGGGCAAGGTGGGGGAGGCCAGTGTGTCTGCCACTGTGGGACTCTGACTGAGGTCCTGGGGAAGCAGGTGAGGCGAAGCAAGGGCCTCAGGTGGGTAAAGCCTGTGAAGTGCGGTGCTCACTTGAGGGTTTTTGACTACTGGGACCCTGGCTGAGTGCTCAGGAGGAGCCTTGGGAAGCCCTTGAACCTCCACCCGAGGGGCCAGGTGTGCCTGGCGGCCACCTCTAGGTATAGCCAGCTGTCTCTCTCCACCACTGCTTGGAGATTCAACCTCACCAGAAGCACCCAGGTCTCCTGCTGGCCACCTGCCCCTCCTCCCAGAGGCCCCGAGACCATCTCTGCTGGATCCTTCTCACCTCCCAGGGAGCTGTGCCCAGAACGGAAGGCTGGCTGCTGACCGTGTGCCCATCTGCAAAGGTCACACAGCAGGGACAACAAAGGACCTTTCTGTCCTGGTGCTTAAGGTAGCTGCAGGCGGAAATCACCCCTCGACCTTCTGGTGTCATGAATTAATAATCAAGGCAGTCGGGCAGGCTGGCCGGCAGGAGCAGGGCACAGAGCTCCTCCTCCCCCATCCCTCGGCCTCGCAGCCG